TTTGCATTGTGATCTTCCCCGTTGTACAAGAAAATCCTCCCCTTCGAAAAAAAACATCACTCCATACGATAGGGAAGAAGAGTTCTGTCCAATTCACATTTCGATAATCGTCAAAAGATTTGGACTTTTTAATCAATTCTAATTGATAGTCAAGGATGCAGAACTCCCAGTTCGTGGAGACCCTAGTGTTTTCCTCAAATTATTCACCCGGTTTGATAGAAAAATTAAATCCCTCACCATTGGAAGCTTTTCGTTCTACCTTCTAAAATCGTGAATGAAATATGTGCCAAAATTTGACATAAAGCTGTACATTTTAACTACCGCTCAGGAAACTCGAACCAGAAATCCACTAAAAAAACAAAGAAGAGAAAATCCCTGTTTTCGAGAAGGTGATGGATATGTAAAGATATTCTACAGTTCACATTAGAGGTGTCTTGAGTTCATAGTGTACTCCGCTCTTCTTTTCACCAAACTCACTCACACATTTCAAATAAAATACTCGATCCTACCTTGCTACAATTAACCGGGTGATGATTTCCAGCGGCATTTAGGAGCAAAGGAAAAGAAGCTTTCTCTGGAATGACAGAACAGAAATTCATTGCCAGGCGCGTATAGATAAGGCCTCCTTCAAATCGTGCATTCTGAACTGTGACATTTTCAATGACAACATTACCACAGGAGTTCTCGATGTTCACACCAGCCAGAAGAGGCCCAAGGATTGAAGAATCGACCACGGCCAAGGGTTTGGCAAGTTCTTTTACATTTAAGCCGGAGGCGCTATCGTGGATCTTAACATGTAATAAATCTGGAGCGTTTTCCACGGCATTTATGCCCTCAAGAGCATTCTCAATGTCCACGTACTCCAGCGAAGAGCTTTCTTTTTTCTCAGAGGAGTTCGTAGGCTCGAAGTAAAAACCTTTCCAATAAAAGTTCTCAGCCAAATATGGCAATAGAGTGTCACATTCAATGCCAACGTCTCGGTTGTGAGCTGAAATATTTGTCGTGTCGTTGTAATGGAAAAAAGAAGGAATAAAAATAGAAATGTGATTAATGGCTTAAAAGTAGCTAATT